ACCATACAAAATTCTTTGAGTTTTATGGATTTTTCTATTCTATAAGTGAGGGAGTGGAGAGCTGTCTCCGTAGATTTTCCCTTAGTGTATGCATGCTGTGAGGGGGACCACTGGTTGGGGCTTACAGCACGCCTTACTTCTACGTCTATGATTCTTTCAAGAGCCTTCAACATGAAAGAGGAGAGGCTTATTGGACGGAGTTCATTGGGGTTGTGGTGCGAGGTTTTTTCTGCTTTGGGTATAAAAACTACTCTAACCTCCCTCCATTTAATCGGGACATAGTTAAATAAGAAACAATGTCTAAAAATTGCCAAAAGCCGGTTGTGTATTAACTCCCATGAATTCTGGAGCTCAATTGGATGAATACCATCCGGTCCTGGTGATTTGTAGGGTCTAAAACTAAAAGTAGCCCATTTTACGATCTGCAGGTTTTTTCTGCTTTGGGTATAAAAACTACTCTAACCTCCCTCCATTTAATCGGGACATAGTTAAATAAGAAACAATGTCTAAAAATTGCCAAAAGCCGGTTGTGTATTAACTCCCACGAATTCTGGAGCTCAATTGGATGAATACCATCCGGTCCTGGTGATTTGTAGGGTTTAAAACTAAAAATAGCCCATTTGACGATCTGCAGGTTAACCTTAATAGAGTTAACCGGTGAGAGATTAAGGCACTCTGAGGATGCAGCTACCGAAGTAGAAGATCCCGGAAAGGGAGTATCTAGTAGTAATTGTAAAGATTCGCTACTATTATTGCACCATGTCCCGTCAGATTTTTTGAGTAACTCTGGGACAGATGGATTTTTGGATAAGATTTTACGCAGTCTAGAGGTTTCAGAATTGCTATTTATTTCTTGACAGTACGATTGCCAAGTGTCTCTCTTGGACCTACGTAAATTTTTCTTATATTCCTGCAGAGAGGTTTTGTAATTCAGCCAATCACTCTCATTATTATATAGCTTTGCTCTGTTGAAGAGTCTCCTACACTCTTTTCGTAAAAGACCTAGATGCTTATTCCACCAAGGTGGGTTACATTTTCTACTAGGTTGTGTGAGGCGATAGGCATAATTGAAAGCTTCGTTGAGCACTGAGGTGAGATCTTGGACTTGATTGTCTAGATCAAAAGTGTTCCCAGGGGGATCGGAGGAAATGGTTAAAAGCAGCTCACTTAGCGCTGCATTATAATTCGTCCAGTTTGTGTTTTTAACATTTCTAAACGTTTTTTGATTGTAGATGTTCGATTCATCCAAGGTTAAGGTGAATTCTAGAATCATATGGTCTGAGAACGAGTGTTGAGTGGACACTTTCCAGTTCTTGACCGATTCGTGAAGCCTAGCAGTAGCAAGAGTGACATCTAGCACTGCCTGTTTTTTGTAATAAAAGTTGGCATATTGCCATCATTGTAGATGAAAAGATTGTTACTAAATATAAAATCAAAAAGTAACTCACCTCTTTCCAAATATGCAGATACTGCCCATATTTGGCCCCAAGAACCCTCGATACTTACTGCGGTTTGGTCACCATCACTATATTGCGAAAGTAAGAGAGCATTAAATTTTTTATTAACCAATATACAGGACCTAGGCTTACCCTTATTTGCCGCATAAAATAGATTGTAGTTTTTAGCCCTGATTCCGCATACAAGATCCTTATAAATCCATGGTTCTTGTATTAAGACCTTATCAGCCTCGTTGTTGCTGAGGCGTTGCAGTAGACTGGCGGATGCAGCCTTGCTATGATGCAGGTTAATTTGCTGTACCCGCATCTTCAGTATGTGTGGATCCATTTTTCTCCGCCACAGTGACATCAAGAGTACTATCCTCCTCAGAGTCATTACTCATTAGGAGTTCCTCTTCATCGAAAAGATAGCGCATGCCTATGCTCTTCTCTGATGTAATTGAGTGAGCTGGCGAAGGAGCAGACACCAAAGTGTCCATGCACACAGGTGAGTCTTCAGATGGAATAACCGGACTCACTTCGGTCATGGAAGTAGGTTTAATATTGTCCACTTTCGATAAGGGATCAGCAGTGTGTTGAGAAATTGCCGCTAATTCCCGTACATCATAGTTGCGGAGAAAGGAAAGTCGATCCGGGCAGAGATCCGCTATACCCGGACAAGGCTAAGTTACAACCGGAGGGCGCCAGTTATCCGGAGGTCTCCGTTTAGAGACACACTAACGTAGTGCCATTCATCTCATCGGCACGGGACGAATAACACCGGAGATTACCGGTTTTATCGAGTTTTCCTCTCTAGATCCGTAGTGTTCTGTTAAGTCAATAAAGTTATCAACTACAAACAGGTTCACCTCGAGAAGGGTGTGATAAAGTACCACGCACCATGGTCTTGGTAAAGCATAGGCTGATGTTTTGCGCATAACCATACCCTGTTCATTGAGAACACGAACACGAGCCTAAATAAAATATGAAATATGAAAATTTACAAAAATGTTTTGAGAAAAATTTGTTTTTGAAATTTCACGGTTAATATTAGTACTTAAATATAAATAATTTTAATTGTTTAACCAATTTCACAAAAGTTCAATCAATTATATTTGCAACGCTATGAATTTCAAGTTTCTGCCTTTTATAGAACTTGAGATATAGCCATTTGAAAATGTGTCTACAATGCCAATTCTTAAAACCCATGCTATATCTCCTAGCAAAAACATCACAAAATTTTTCCCGGGATACGGGTCTTCTTATTTTATGAAAAGAGCTCATAAAGAAGCTCATTTCAGCCAAATCTGAACTCATGAGATCAAAAAGATGTCCGAGTTGTAAAAGAATGACCCATATGCAGAATTGTGTTCATTTCGCTTGCAATTTCGATTGTCCTTAATTGTATAGCCCATCTCATTTGGTATTGAATTGACAGTAATAAGTCCTTGGCCTGTTATGATCATTATGTTAATAAAGATTAGTGTAAATTTAATGTTTGACGTGTGAACATTTTTTTAGGATTCTTTTTATAAATTTAGGTCTAAATTTTATGTCTTACGTTTCTATAATTCTTAATAAAACTTTGTTCCCTGTTTTCTACATAGTTTTCTCGGTTTTGGTTTTGCTTAAAAATTGTTTTGTTTTTCATTTGATGTATTCTTTCTTTAATGATACTATGTTCGACCTTGTTGTTTTGAACTTCCAATGGTGAAATTTTTGTAGTGCTATGACAACAATTATTATAAAATCTAACGACATTACACATTTGAGAAGCGATGGGACGTTTTTGTTTTAAATTTAATGTTCTAATCCGTTCAGTATGGCATTATTTGATCTTTCGATATCAAAATTCCCTATATGGCTATTCGGTTTGGTAACATGATACTCCGCAGTTAGAAAGTCTCGCATATTTCTTGATTTGAACTCATTGTCAAAAACAAACTTTTTTATATGTCCCTTAATGGCTTAAAATTCATTTATCTTCCCAATTATCGTTTGATTATTTCTATCTGGTAAATGAAAAAATACAACATGTTTTGAAAACTTGTCTATGAACACTACAAATGATTCTTTACTATTAACTTAGGTATCTATATGAACGATTTCATTGATCGTATTTGGTGTTTCTGTTATTTGAAATTTGGTTTTTATTGGTTTACGGTCATATTTCCCACCATTGCATATAACGCAATTGTTAATTATATCATGTATTTTTATTATTAGTTGTGAATGATGGATTTTGTGTTCTATTTCGTCATATGTCGGTATAGTTCCTAAATGTTCGACTTAATGTTTGTGAAATAATGATATTCGTTTTTTGAGTTCGCTTTCTTTTTCTAAGTCTGATGCAAAATAGCAGCACGCTACGAACGATATAGTTTTTGTGTTTGTAAAGGTTAAAATTACTACTAGCTAATTTCTACTATACATAATTATTATATTCTTTATATATAATACAATATACTTTATTGATAAAAGTTATATAGATTTACAATTTGCTATTAATAATAATAATAATTACGGCACGGCACGCTTACTGCTTTGAGCACAACGACGAACAACAATGCATTTTGTATTTTTCTTTTTTATCTATTTCTTTATACAGGGTTGCCATGATCGAATATACTACAGTTCCTCCCCCATCAAATAGTCCCTTAACCTTTTTGGCGGTTGTCTCTGCCGGTACGGTCGCGATTTTAATGTTTTATCTCTTTTATCTTTTTCTTCTAATGACCCTTCTACTTGATTATCTGGTAGGATATATTCATTTGATGAATGACCTGCACTTACTTGGTCGTCTTGCTCTTCCGGTTGTGCCACTGAAGTTGCTGCTACTGGAGTTATATTGTATTCTAAACTTGTCGGTGTCTCCGAAACTCGCTTATGCAACTGGTCAATATGTCTCGACAATATGTTACTATTTGATTGAATTTTGTAGTTGCGATCTCCTGTTGATTGTATAATCCCTGGCATCCACTTTTCACCTCTTCCAAAATTTCGGTACCAAACACTTTCACCACACTGGAAACTGCGAACTGGTTTTATTTGTTTGGAATACTCATCAGAATTTAGCTGCTTCTGAGTGTTGTCATCACTGGGGTGCAAATGATCTAACAATGTTTTCAACTTCCTTCCCATCAAGATTTCTGCTGGACTCGAATTTGAATTTACATTAGGAGTTGTACGCAGATGCAAAAGTATATTTGCCAAATTCTTATTGATGTCTGAAGACTGCATTTTCTTAAGGTGATTCTTAATGGTTTGTACAAACCTTTCTGCTTGCCCGTTTGACGATGGATGATACGGTGCCGTACGTATGTGCTTTATACTGCTAAGTTTTAAATATTTCTCAAATTCTTCTGACACAAACGTTCGCCCATTATCGGACACAATAGTGTCTGGTATTCCGTGTGTTGCAAATATTTCTCTCATTAACTCGATTGTTCTAATCGCATTTATTGTACTGGTTATTTTTACCTCTACCCACTCGCTATGAGCATCTACGACGATAAAAAAATTTATACCCATAAAGGGTCCCGCATAATCAATATGTAACCGGGATCATGGCCTTAGTGTTGCTGGCCATGATTTACCTGCTGCTACTGGAGGATTCTTTTTGTTACTTGCATACTTTTCACAACGTCTGACTAACATTTCTATATCTTCATCTAAACCAGGCCACCAAAAATAGCTTCGCGCCACTGCTTTCATTGCCGACATGCCTTGATGAACTTCGTGCAACATCTCAAGTATTCTGGGACGTAGTATTGCTGGTATTATTACCCTGGCTCCCCATAACAAACATTGTGCATTCACTGATAGTTCCTGGATGTTATTCCCAAACGGTTTAAACTGGATTGATTTATATTGCAAAACTGTATCTTTCCTTTGGTTATGCCACATTACTTTTGATAGTACTGGATCTCTTCTGGTTGCTTGTGCAATGTCTTTCGCAGTGATTAAAAACTGTTCCTCAGCCTCATTGCAATATAATATTTCAGGTATTTTCGGTATTTGTAGCTTTACATCATTTAAAGGTAACCGGCTCAATGCATCTGCATTCTGGTGATGTTTTCCTTCTCGGAATTTAATCTCGTACTGGTAAGCGCCTAACTTTAACGACCACCTTAACATTCTGGCTGATATATGCTGTGATATTGGTTTTTCTGGGCTGAATAATCCCACTAGTGGTTTATGATCAGTCATTATTGTAAATTGTCTACCACTTAAAAATTGATGAAACTTTTGCACACCAAACATAATCGCTAGCGCTTCTTTATCCAACTGTAAATAATTTCGTTCCGCGCCCTGTAATGTTCTGGAGCCAAAAACAATCGGTGCTTCACTATCATCCGGCATCTTGTGTGCCAAAACCACGCCAACTCCATACGGTGATGCGTCTCCGCATAATATCAGTGGTAAGTCAGCCGAATAATGCACCAACAGATTTTTTGATTGTAGTAGTTTCTTTGCTCGTTCAAAACTTAGTTTCTGTTCTCTACCCCATTTAAAAGGTATCTCTTTTCTTAATAATTGATACAGCGGTTCCAATAGATCGCCCTTATTTTGTAAAAATCTATCATAAAATGTAATTAACCCAAGAAAAGCTTGTAGCTGTTGTTTATTTATTGGTTCTGGTGCTTGAGCTATTGCCTTCACCTTTTCGTCAGTTGGACGCACACCTTCTCGGCTTATCTTAAACCCCAAAAATGTTATCTCTTGCACTGCGAAAACACATTTTGATTTTTTAAGCTTCAATCCTGCATCCTGTACACATTTCAGAGCAGTTCGTGTTTTATCCCACAACTCTTCCAAAGTTGTTCCGCCAATTAGAATGTCGTCTAAATAAATAATCACACCATCTATGTTCTTAAGAACTCCTTCCATCACCCGTTGAAATATGCCTGGTGCCGTTGAAATTCCAAACGGTAATCTTGTAACTTCAAAAAGTCCGCGATGTGTGTTTAATGTGAGTATCCTTGCTGATTCTTGATCAACCTTCACCTGTGTATACGCTCGATCTAAATCCAGCTTTGTAAACCACTTACAATTTACTAATGCTGCTAGCACTTCTGTATTAGTAGGTAATGGATACGTTTCCTTGCAAAGCATTTGATTCACTGTGCACTTATAATCTCCACAAATGCGTATGCTACCATCTGGTTTAATAATAGGTACAACCGGTGTTGCCCACTCACTAAAGGATATTGAACGCAGTGCGCCTTTATCTTCCAACTTCTTTAATGCTGCTTCCACCTTGAGTTTTAGTGCAAAAGGCACTTGTCGATATCGAAGAAATTTCGGTTTACTTGAAACTGACATTTGTAACTTCACAGGATTTCCCTTGTAATCTCCAATATTTCCATCAAAAACTGAACTGAAATTCATCACTTCTACTGGAATAGTTGATTCTATATTGCATAAATTGCTAGTTATAGTAATTCCCAAATCGTTAAACAAAATTCGACCAATTAGAGCCGGACCATCACCCGCTGCTACTAACAACTTTAGTTTCTTTGTGACGTTCCCAACCGAGACTGGTACTTCTGCTTCTCCACTCAGTTTAAGATTTTTCTCAGTTCCCCAAGTTCTTAATTGTATTTGACTTGGTTTTAGCGGAATATACGGCATTTTTTCTCTAAATAACTTTTCACTTACTATTGAGTAACTTGCCCCCGAGTCTATTTCCATTTGTACCAGTGACTTACTTATCGTAATCACTCTCTTGACCGATGGACTACCTTTAGCGAACATTGACCATAAATACTCCGTCGTTTGAGTTTCCTGGTTTGTATCTAAAAGATTTACTCTGTTTGGTCTTCTCCCATTATTTGTTGCTGGCTTTTTTTCAGCGTCTTTAAATTTGCACTGATCTGAATGATGATTTCCTCGACAACGATAACAATTCTAAATATGGTCCACTGGAGCACGATTTTGTTTTACCTTGTTGCTTGAAATTTTATTCAACCCTGGCAGGCTGGCTGACGTATTAAGTTCCGTCACATTTTTTTGTGCTGTTTCTAATGCTATAGCTTCCTCCTGCGCTATTTTTAGTATTAACTGGTCATTCGCCAGAAGCCGCTTTTGTAAATTTTCATCGCGCATGCCACAGACTAGTCTGTCTCGTAACATTTCCTCCAAATCATTGAAATTGCAGTCTTGGCTCAATTTCCTTAGCGCTGCCAAATATTCGGTAATTGACTCGTCCTCTTTTTGGTTTCTCCGATAAAATTTAAACCTTTGTATTATTATATTCTCTGCCTGACAAAAATAACTAGTCAATAATTTAGTTGCCGCCTCAAATGTAAATTTTTCCTCTAAAATGTTAATCGGTGTGGCAACCGATTTTAATATCGTGTAGGTTTCCGTCCCACATGAGGCTAAAAAGATCCCTTTTTTCTTTTTTGCGTCTGTGATGTTATTTGCAACAAAGAAAAATTCCATTTGTTCCATGTATGTTTTCCATTTCCCCGACGCCACGTTATATTGACTTATTTCACCAAAATTCTTCGCCATCCTTTAATGTTTTATCCTCGTCGCCAAATTTTATTATATTCTTTATATATAATACAATATACTTTATTGATTAAAGTTATATAGATTTACAATTTGCTATTAATAATAATAATAATTACGACACGGCACGCTTACTCCTTTGAGCACAACGACGAACAACAACGCATTTTGTATTTTTCCTTTTTATCTATTTCTTTATACAGGGTTGCCATGATCGAATATACTACAATAATAAATCTGACGTGAGACCGTCAGCATAAAAATTACCACCAGCACCATAAACTAACTCACCAGCAACGAATTCCATTATACTACCTGGAAATGATAAAATTTATTACAAAAATGATCAAGATCAAAATACAATAACATTACCTGCGATCCTTGCATTGATAAGCCGAGGGCATGACTGAAAAACAACCTGAAGAAAGAAAACAACAAAACTAAATAGTCATTGTTTACGTTTTTTTTTACAACACAAAAAAGAAACATATCGCAAGTAACACTTCTTCTGCCAATTTTTTTTTTTGCTTGGTTTAATTTCTTTATTTTTACATTAAACCACAAAACAATGAATACTGTATTAATAAAATTATATTTTTCTATTTACAAACATAAACAAAACGTAAAACGCGGCGAAAACACAAGCATGCGAATAACACAAAGTACACAAAAATACACAAAAAGCATGCGAATAACACAAAATACACAAAAGCACAAAATTTAACACGAATAGCACAAAGCACGCTAAAAAGCTTCAAGTAAGTATAAAAGAACGCGCATTTCTTATAACTGGGACTTGGCTCTGTGAACTCAAACGGTAAACAAGTTCAGCTCATGCTCATTCAGTCTACTGGTCCATTCGATCAAACTAAGATAATTCAGGCTCATTCAGTCTACTGGTCCATTCGTTCAAATTTTGCTTACAGGCTCATTCAGTCTAACTGGTCCATTTGATCAAATTAGAATAATTCGGGCTCATTCACTCTAGTGGTCCATTCGACCATTTATTACTAAATTGTTATTAATAACTTGGCTTATTCAGCCAAAGCGTAAATTTTTCTTGACGCAGAGCATCCGAAAGGAGGGAAGGAAGAGAGAGAGAGAACGCAGAAGGAAGAGAGAGAGAACGCGGTCCTGCCAGGAGCCTTCTCAACGTCAACCGCAGAAACATCGTCAACGTTTCAACAAGGATTTTATTGAATATGTAATATTTATCTTAATTACATTGGCAGCCCCTTTTCAATCAATTACTGTAACTTTTTTCTTGTAATTTATTTTTTAGTCAATAAACACACTTTTTTATCTTATTTGTTAAAATAAAATCTTTTTTTACTGCTATTTTTTTTAAAAAAACGGTACATACCCCAGTTTAGTTTTTTTTACGTGCTCTTATTTTTCTTAGTAACTGTCGCGTTTTTTTTGGATTAAAATTTCTTTTTTTATATATATAAAAAAAAATATACTAAAACAATGGCATCGGAAGGTGAAATTAGAATTGAAAAACTAATGGACAGTTCGCAATGGCTTACGTGGAAATTCCAAATGGTATAAATTTTGGAAGCTTGTATGCAGTGGTGACTGGGACTGAACTATCGCAGAAGGATAAAAAATTATTATGGCAGAAAATTGATACAAGGGCTCGTCGCACTATATGCATGTCACTAGGTGTTGTGGGTACATGCACGATAGGGTGTGAGGAAAACGGTTTGACCGTCAATAAATAAATATATAAGAACAGCCTTGTATTAAGTCTCATGTTACGGTGCGGTAGCATGGGACTATACAGAAGACAATGGTCCTACAACGCGAGAGTGAAATGAGCTGACACTACAAAACGTGACCAGCAAACACGCTACTTTTGAAGCTGACACAAAAGTACAGAAAGTTTTGACTAGGCAGTTGCTGGTTGAACTTGAGCGGTTCAGCATGATAACTCGCTTATGTGATAAAGTCGATTTGCTAAATTTTGTATTAAGTGTTACAGAATAAGATGAGTGTTGTTGATTAATAAAAAATTGATAAAATTCAACGTTAATCTTTTTGAAACCTGATTAAATTCGTATCGGTTTGTTTTGATCAAACATCGTGTGTGAGTAACCTTCGCGTATTCGCAAACGTAAAACGGTATATGGCAAGCAACAAGTCAAGTGACGATTTTAACTCCAAAACCAAAACTTAATTGTGCACGAATTTAGTAAAAAGCTACGGCGATTGCGGTTAAAACATTTTGCTTCCAGTTGGACAAGTGTAATACTGCAGTAATTTCATTTCCTCTGCTCTTGATAATGGTTACTCCAACATATTTACCAGCACAGCTCGTTTTAACTACGCGACGACGACGTTAAAGAACTAAGAACAAACGACCAACCCTTTTGGGGATTGTCATTGTGACGAAATTTATTGCAATAAGTTATAGTTAATAGTAATAAATTCTGAATGTTCAAAAGAAATCTATACAATAAAATAATTAAACAAAATTTTATTATGAGTGAAGAGAAGACTAATATAACTAAAGTAAACAACCAACCTAATATAAAATAAACATCATAAGCAACCATAATAATCAGAGCTTTAACTGTATCAGCATCAACGTCAACCACAATAATAACAGTAACGAGTGCGTCAACAAGAACAAAAATTAATATACGCAACAACTTCGATTACAACTTTAAAAGATAACAATAGTTTCGATTGTACATTTTACTGCAACTGCGACTGAAACTGCGACAGCAATAGCAATAACAACTATTAAAATTGAAGTAACATCAACAACATTAGCAGCAACAGTGACGACAACAGAAGTCCCAAAAACGTCTGCAACAACAGCAAACACAGCGAAGCACAAGCACATTCAATTAGTGACAACTGCAAAAGTGACGGACGAACCCAGAAGCAGCGACAGCAGTTAGGCCTTAGTGAATATAACATAATTTAAATAAAGTGACCGTAACCCAAACCTCATGTGTTTATTATTCAACAATATAGGACCACGACTTAGGTAAACAACCCTTGTTGCAAATACTTCATTGTGTGTCTGCAGAAGATATGTGGGATACACTTAAAAATGTATACGAACAAACGTCAAGATCAAAGGTATTATTTTTGCAGCAGATATATTATAGTTATAATAAAGACCCGGAGGACGACATTACAACCCTTTTATCCAAACTAATGGAAATAGTGCAGCATCTTTGCGATCAAGGTGAAAGTATTTCTGATTCGATGATAATTACAAAGGTTTTAATGTCTTTACCAGTGGAATACAATCACTGAGCTGAGGACCAGGACGGAAACACCTTACGAGCACGGCTTATGGCAAAAGAAATAAGAATGGGTGCTCAGGAAAAGATAAAATCAGAAGTTCTCTTGGCAAAACGGCAATACCGATCAGAAACTAAAGGGCAACAAAATAGAACCATGAAAACAAATGCCAGAAACCAAGGATGTTTTAAGTGCGGTCACAAAGGCCATTTTAAGCGTAATTGTCTACAAATCAAAAAAGCTGGACCAAATGCGAATCCCTGTAGAAACTATGAAGCTTTGATATGTGGTACAAATGCTAGCTGCAGCAGAAACAATTGGGTCGTTGACTCAGGAGCAACAAATCACATATGTCATATACAGGATTGGTTTGAGAGTTTCAGAAACTACAATGATATAGTCATGCTTGGTGATGGACGTGCTATTAAAGCGGCTGGAATAGGAGATATTGTCGTTTTTGTTAGTGAACGTCACAAATGAGTGCAGGAAGTACTGAAAGATGTACTTTATGTTCCAGACATTCAATATAATTTATATTCGTCAACGAGGCCACTAGATCGAGGTTACAAATTTCATTCTGACAGTAATACTTGTAAATTTGTCAGAGAAAATGAAAGTACTGTTGCAGTGGGGGTTCGAAGAGGAAAGTTATTTAATATGCTAATTAAGGTTCCAGAAGACAACTTTTTAAATTTAGCAGTCGCCGAGAACTTACCTTTGCAAATATGGCATGAAAGAATGGGTCACCAAAATGCAATACATGTGAAGAAAATTCTGAATAAGAACAATATTGGCTTTGTGGATAAGGAATTTACATGCGAGGGATGCATTTTAGGTAAGCAGCACAGAAGCAG